AGCTCATCCACTTCCTCATCTGTAAACCGATCTCCCATGGTTGTCAGCAGCTCTCTCAGGTAATCTTCCTGAATGGTGCCTGGAGAACAAAGAACTGGTGGTCAGAATATATACTACTCTGAGGATCAATTACAAGGAATATCTATACTTGACTTAGCATGTTTTGGATGTTAAAAACTATAAACATGCAAATATACAAAATACAGGGTGTTTCCATTGCTTAAGGCAGCATCAGTAGATAGTTGCCTAGAAAAATACCCAGCTACTTAGTAGCATTACTCTGCTCTATCAATCTGCCTCTGCATCCATCTTCTGATCTCTTGATAACAGGGACTAAACCTGTGCCCAAACAAAAGTAATAAAAAGTATGGTTAAGGAATCTAAACCTGACAGTTCCCTAAAGCAGCATACAAAGTTACACCCATTCTACAAGCAAGTAACAGTCCCCTGCCACACTAAAACCAACACCATATCATAAATATCAATAAAGTACCTTCGTGGAAAGAATACTGGAGTCTTGAGGCCCAGTTTTAACAAGCTGTTATTTTGGGCATTTCACTTTACCTCTGACTCCAGTTTTCTCATATGTAAAAATGAGATTTTTGATGCTTACAAATCTAATTATGTAATAACAAATATGGCCAGGCCTAGCACGTACAAAAACATGAAATAAATATTTGAGCATCAACTGTGTCACAGAGACTGTGCCAAGAGTGGCGGTGAGTAGTGGGGGAAGCCAAAAGATTTGTTTTTACTCTGGGTTTTTTGACACCAGGGTTCTCATAAAGCCTGCCTGCCTATAAGGATCGGATGTCACCCGATTTATTATCTGGTATTGGTATTTTTAAAAGGTTTCTCAAGTAACTAACATGTACATGTGGGGAACCTTTAAAGCGTAAGTGAGATTATGCTTTTATCAGCAGGTCCTGACAACCACTCAGTATTTAAACTAGTCCAAGTAATGCAGGAAATCAAAGGGTGTGCCTTCCTTCCCTAAAAACATTTGGCTATGCCATGTGAGTTGGGAATCATAGAAAATATTTCCTTATATGTTTTCTCTTATATACACATCTCCCCAAATATCAGGTCTTTATATATTTACATTTTTGTCTAACAGTTAACTCTATGCCAGGCAGTATACACTTTATGTATATTACCTCATTTCCTCATTTAATCCTAACAATCCTGTGAGGTAGGTAATATTACCGTCCATTTTACAAATAAGAAAACAGAGGCTTAGAGAAAGTTAAGTTGCCCCAAATTACACAGCTATTATGTGGCAGAAGAGGAATTTGAAACCAGCCAGTCTGATTCCAGAGCCTAAGCTCTACTTGGTTTATTTTAACACAGAGGTGAGATATCAAACAATTTTATTTAGAGCTAAGAGATACCTGGTAAACAAACATAGAACTGTACCATGTTATAGCTATGGTCTTTAACAATTTATACTTTATCCAAAATTCCTCTGGTAAAAGTTATTTATTCAACAGATATATCCTGAGCGTAACCCTTGAGGAGTTAACATTCTAGTAAAGAAGTAATACAAGTTTCCCAAAGAGGTTTCAAATACAACCTATTCAATAGTAAACTATTAATATTTAAAGGCAGAGGCAGCAAAGCATGCCAGAAGAGAACCGTGTTCAAATAACTAGGTGTAGTACAAACCTTAGGGTGGTATGCTATATTTCGAGTTACTGTATATTTTAGTTTCTACAACTAAAAATTAAATCATTTTGTAATTACAGGTTATTCTCACTTACCAGTTGCTTCTTCATCAAAGCAAGCAAAAGCATTTCTGATGACATCCTCTGGGTCTGTGCCATTTAACTTCTCACCAAACATGGTGAGGAACAT